TGGATGAAATAGAAGAAGCAATCAAAAGACTACCAACCAAGAAAAGCCCAGGACTGGATGGGTATACAGCGGAGTTTTACAAAACCTTTAAGGAATAATTAATACCAATACTTTTCAAGTTATTTCAGGAAATAGAAAAAGAGGGAGTTCTTCCAAAATCATTCTATGAGGCCAACATCACCCTGATCCCGAAACCAGACAAAGACACCTCAAAGAAAGAAAACTACAGACCAATATGTCTAATGAACCTAGATTTAAAAATCCTCAATAAAATTCTGGCGAATCAGATACAAAAACACATCAAAAAAATTGTGCACCATGATCAAGTAGAATTCATCCCTGGGATGCAAGGATGGTTCAATATACAGAAATCAATAAATGTTATTCACCACATCAATAGACTTAAAAATAAGAACCATATGATCATCTCGATAGACGCAGAAAAAGCATTCGACAAAGTACAGCATCCCTTTATGTTCAAAACATTAGAAAAACTAGGGATAACAGGAACTTACCTCAACATTGTAAAAGCTATCCATGCAAAGCCTCAGGCTAGCATCATTCTGAATGGAGAAAAATTGAAGGCATTCCCTCTAAAATCTGGAACAAGACAGGGATGCCCTCTATTACCACTTCTATTCAATATATTCTCGAAACACTGGCCAGAGCAATTAGACAGACGAAAGAAATTAAAGGCATCAAAATAGGAAAAGAAGAACTTAAATTATCACTATTTTCAGGTGACATGATTCTATACCTAGCACACCCAAAAGGGTCTACAAAGAAACTACCAGAACTAATAAATGAATTCAGCAAAGTGGCAGGATATAAAATCAACATGCATAAATCAAAGGCATTTCTGTATATCAGCGACAAATCCTCTGAAATGGAAATGAGGAAAAACACCCCATTCACAATATCCTCAAAAAAAAAAATACTTGGGAATCAACCTAACAAAAGAGGTGAAAGATTTATACAATGAAAACTACAGAACCCTAAAGAGAGAAATAGAAGATCTTAGAAGATGGAAAAATATACCCTGTTCATGGATAGGCAGAACTAACATCATCAAAATGGCGATATTACCAAAAGTTCTCTATGGGTTTAATGCAATGCCAATCAAAATCCCAATGGCATTTCTTGTAGAAATAGATAAAGCAATCATGAAATTCATATGGAAAAATAAAAAACCCAGAATAGCAAAAGCAACTCTAAGCAGGAAGAGTGAATCAGGCGGCATAGCGATACCAGATTTCAAACTATACTACAGAGCAATAGTAACAAAACAGCATGGTACTGGTACCAAAACAGGTGGGTGGACCAATGGTACACAATAGAGGACACAGAGACTAATCCACAAAGTTACAACTATCTTATATTTGAGAAAGGGGCTAAAAGCATGCAATGGAGGAAGGATAGCATCTTCAACAAATGGTGCTGGGAAAACTGGAAATCCATATGCAACAAAATGAAACTGAATCCCCTTCTCTCGCCATGCACAAAAGTTAACTCAAAATGGATCAAGGAGCTTGATATCAAATCAGAGACTCTGCGTCTGATAGAAGAAAAAGTTCGCTCCGATTTACATATTGTGAGGTCGGGCTCCAAATTACTTAATAGGACACGCGTAGCACAAGAGTTAATAACAAGAATCAACAAATGGGACTTACTTAAACTAAAAAGTTTTTTCTCAGCAAGAGAAACAGTAAGAGAGGTAAATAAGGAGCCTACATCCCGGGAACAAATTTTTACTCCTGACACTTCAGATAGAGCCCTAATATCTAGAGTATAAAAAGAACTCAAAAAATTAAACAATAAGATATCACATAACCCAATCAACAAATGGGCCAAGGACCTGAACAGACACTTCTCAGAGGAGGACATACAATCAATCAACAAGTATATGAAAAAATGCTCACCATCTCTAGCAGTCAGAGAAATGCAAATCAAAACCACCCTAAGATACCATCTCACTCCAGTAAGATTGGCAGCCATTATGAAGTCAAACAACAACAAGTGCTGGCGAGGATGTGGGGAAAAGGGTACACTTGTACATTGCTGGTGATACTGCAAATTGGTGCAGCCAATTTGGAAAGCAGTATGGAGATTCCTTGGAAAGCTGGGAATGGAACCACCATTTGACCCAGCTATTTCCCTTCTCGGACTATTCCCAAAAGACCTTACAAGAACATATTACAGGGACACAGCTACATCAATGTTCATAGCATCACAATTCACAATAGCTAGACTGTGTAATCAACCCAGATGCCCTTCAGTAGATGAATGGATAAAAATGTGGAATTTATACACAATGGAATATTACTGAGCACTAAACAATAACAAAATCATGGCTTTTGCAGGGAAATGGATGGCATTAGAGCAGATTATGTTGAGTGAAGCTATCCAATCCCTAAGGAGCAAGTGCCAAATGTCTTCTTTGATATAAAGGGGACAACTCAAAACAGAGCAGGGAGGAAGAGCTTGAGAAGAATATTAGCATTAAATTGGGATGAGAGATGCATGGGAATGGGAGAGAGAAGGGGAATCGCAGGGAAGATGGAAGGAGACCCTCATTGTTATGCAAAATTACATATAAGATGGTGTGAGGAACAAAAGAGAGAGAGAGAGAGAGAGAGAGAGAGAGAGAGAGAGAGAGAGAGAGAGAAAAGTGTCATAGAGTGGGTAGAGAGAGGTGATGGGAGGGGAAGGGAGGGAAGAGGGGAATAGGAAGGGTAGCAGAATACAATAGACACTAATATGGCTATATGTATAAACGTGGCTGTAAAACCAATGTGATCCTGCAATCTGTACAAGTGGAAAAAAAAAAGAATTTATACCCCACTTGTATCAAATGTATGATATGTCAAGATCATTGTAATGTTTTGAGCAACTAATAAATAATTTTAAAAAAAGTAGTAGAAAAGAATATGGAAAAAGCACATGTATTAATAGCCCACTACTTTATTTCAGTTTAACATATTATTTGTAACAAATTTATTTATTAAAACTGTATTCCAAGGATTGGGGCTATAGCTTTCTGGTAGAGTGCTTGCCTAGTATGTGTGAGGCATCGGGTTTGATCATCAGCACCACATACAAATAAATAAAATAAAGGTATTTGTTTTATCTACACCTAAAAATATTAAGAAATTTTATTCTATGGCTTTCATGGTAACTAAACTCATGAACCACATTTTTCTTTGGTTGAGAAAATTGCAGTTTAATTGTCAGTATATGTGCATTTTCTCTCTTTTGAAAATGTTTTTATTAGTGCATTTTACTTATATATGATAGTGGGGTCCATTTTGATATATGCAGACATGCATGGAATATAATTTGTTGAATTTCACCCCAGTATTTTTATTTTCCCTCTCCAGTTTCTTCCTTTTCCTCCCCTTTCTCTATGGTATTCCTTCTATTTATTTATTTTTTTGTTAAATTGGTGGCTTATAGATATACATGGAGGTGGGATTCACTGTAATATAGTTGTATATGTACTTACATCATTTGTTCAGTTTCCTTCTGCAGTTCTCCTCTTTTCCCATCCCTCTTCTTTCCCCCTACAGCCCCTTCTATTCCACTGACCTCCCTTCTATCTTCATGGGATCTCCCCCTTTTTATATTTCCTTATTTATCTCTAGTTTCTGTATATAAGATAAAACATTTGACCCTTGACTTTCTGAGTCTGGCTTATTTCAATTAGCATGATGTTCTCCAGTTCCATCTATTTAGCAGCAGATACAGTAATTTCGTTCTTCTTTATGGCTGAGTAAACTTCTGTTGTGTGTATATACCACACTTTCTTTATCTGCTCATCTGTTGTTGGATACCTGGGATGGTTCCATAGCTTGGCTATTGTGATTGTGCTGGCTTAAACATTGATATGTCTGTATTACTGTAGCATACTTATTTTTGTTCTTTTAGATAAATACCAAAAAAAAGGTGGAGGGACAGCTGGATCTTGTGATGATTTTATTTCTAGTTTTTTTTTGTTTGAGAAATCTTTGTACTGCTTTCCAGAGTGGTTGCACTTGTCTGCAGTCCCACCAACAACAGTGAGTGTACCTTTCTCCACATCCTCACCAGTGTTTGTTATTTTTTTGTATTCTTGCCATTCTAACTGGAAATGAAATCTTAATGTAGATTTGATTTGCATTTCTCTGATTGCCAGGGATGTTGAACCTTTTTTTTCATGTTATTTTGGCCATTTGTATTTCTTCTTTTGAGAAATGTCTGTTTAGTTGTTTCACCCATTTTTTTATTGAGCTATTCATTTTTCTGTTGTTAAGTGTTTTGAGTAATTTATATTTCTGGATATTAATCCCTTGTTGGCAGAGTAAATGGAAAAAAAATTCTCCCATTCTGAGGGGCTCTCTTTATGATCCTATTTCCTTTACTAGGCAGAGCATTTTAATATGAAGGCATCCCACTTATTGAGTCATGGTTTTATTTTTTGAACTTTATGGGTCTTGTTGAGAAAATCATTGCCTGCACCCATATGTTGGAGAGTTAGGTTTCTGTGAGCACAATCTAGATTTTCCACTGACTTACATCTTCATTTTAGAATCATTTATCTTCAATTGATTTATATATAATAAATAGCATCTTAAATTTTAGTTTTCAAGTGCTCTACAGCTTCTGCCAAAATAGTTAATTCTCCATGAACATTTAATGCATTTAAATAATGATAAAGACAAATGTAGAATAAAAGGAATTGAATTTTATAATAACAGCATATCCCTCACCTAAAATATATATATATATATATATATATATATATATATATATATATTAGTACTGGGGTTTGAACTCAGGACTTCATGCATCCTATGTAAGTGCTCTACCATCTATAAGTGAGCAATACTCTCACTTCTTTTTTGAGACAGGATCTTGCTAAATTGCCCAGACTGGCTTCAAGCTTAGGATTTTCCTTTCTCAGTTTCCATAGTAACTAGGATTATGGGTATAAATTACCCTGCCTCGCTCCTCTCCTCTTTCAGTGGAACACCTGCCACTTCCATGCACTTTAAGTTGGCTGGTACAGAGCTGGCAGTGGTGGTGGATGGCCCAGGGACTTTTGCCCCAGATTCAGGGAAGCTGCTGGTGCCCACTGTACAAGTTGGAGGGTGGTGGGTCAGGCAGGCTGTCACTGCCTCCGCCCAGCTCAGGTCAGTTTCCCTGGGGTGAGTTGTTGGGATGGAAGTCTAGAGAAGGAGGGGCTCTGAGCTAGTGACTACCAAGGCCACTATTTTGTCACCACATGTTGTCCCTCCTGTCTGCTTTGACCCTCCTCCAGAGGCCTCCTCCAGGCCCTGCCTCCCTTCTCCGGATCCCACCCCATCCTCCAGACCGCACCCTCCACATGCTCTGCCCTACACCCCTCCCCCAAGGCCTTGTCCCTTCTTCAGGCTGTGTCTCTTCTCCGGATCCCTGCCCTGTCCCGACTGTGGCCCTCCTCCAGACTCTACCCTGTTTCTAGGCCCTACCCTTCTCCAGAACCCCCTCTCACAGCCACAGCTCAGTGCACTAATTGACAGTACATTTGCAGTAGTACACAAAATAGCCTGTTGTATAAACATTGACATTCTACATTGGATGAAATAACCTGAGTATATCAGGCTTTGATGGAACAGAAACTGAACTTAGAAAAGTCATATCTTTTCTCTAGATTATAAACATTTGAAATAAAATCAGAATTTGTGAAAGTCAGGTAACACTCAGCTTTGAGCCTTAATGATCCCAGGGTCTTTTCCAATGGGAGATCTCTAAGCAGCAGTCCAAACTTTTCTATGCTAATTGATTGAGTTTTCTTATTTTAGTTGTTTTGCAATCTCTGTATTTACTAGAAAATGCCCCATGTTTTCCATCTTCCAGGTTTCCAGTTCTGTGCAGTAGGTTTCTCCTATTCAATTTTTAATTTCTTCTCTTTTTAGTTTTCTACAGAATTCTTAATCCTGTGAAAGTCTGTTGTTTTCCATCAGCAATATTTTTAAAATATGCTTTTAGCTTTCTTGGTTTTTCATTGAGAGACTTGTCTTGTTTGAAAATTCTCATGATAATCTTAAATGATTTTAATTATTTTTCTGCTTATTGAAATGTCTTTGGGTATGCAGCTCAGTGACAGAGCACTTGCCTATCAATTGAGAGGCCTTGGGTTCCATTACAGCACCACACACACACATATATTTTTACACACACACACACACACAATGTCGTTTGGCAGAACTTAAGCATCAGAGGAACCCAGAGATATGTTTAAAAACATTATGTATTTACATATATCTCTTCCAGATTTAGATGAAATTATTTTAAGAAAAAATTTCAATGTCAACTATTATATTGCATGGTTCCTTTTTTTTACTTTTATTTATTTTTATGTGGTTTTGAGAATTGAACTCAGGGCTTCACACATGCTAGGCAAGTACTCTACCGCTGAGCCACAACCTCAAATTTTTTTTAATATTTATTTTTTAGTTGTACACAGTACCTTTATTTTATTTTATTTTTATGTGGTGCTGAGGATTGAACCCAGGGCCTTGCACATGATAGGCGAGTGCTCTACCTCTGAGCCACAACCCCAGTCCCCTGCATGATTCTTTTATTTTAAATATTTATTTTTTAGTTATAGGTTGACACAATATCTTTATTTTATTTTTATGTGGTGCTGAGGATTGAACCCAGTGCCTCACACATGATAGGCGAGTGCTCTACCTCTGAGCCACAACCCCAGCCCCCTGCATGATTATTATTATTATTATTATTATTATTATTTTTGAGAGAGAGAGAGAGAGAGAGAGAGAGAGAGAGACAGAGAGAGAGAGAGAGGATTTTAATATTTATTTTTTAGTTTTCGGCGGACACAACATCTTTGTTTGTATGTGTGCTGAGGATCAAACCCAGGCCGCACGCATGCCAGGCGAGTGTGCTACTGCTTGAGCCACATCCCCAGCCCTGCATGATTCTTAAAATCACTGTAGATGAAGTTTCCTTAGGACTCAAGTCATTACAATGTGTAAGAGAGAAATCAATAGCTGAGTTTTGTAATTAAAAAATATTTTTACTAAAAATAATTTTTTTTAAACAGACATTTTCTTTTCTACTTTTCAATTTAGAAAGCATATCCCTATGTCTTATTAAACTTCTACATTTGTTTATTTATTTTTATGTGGTGCTGAGAATCGAAGCCAGTGCCTCACGCATGCTAGGTAAGTGCTCTACCACTGAGCAACATCCCCAGCCCCTAAAGTTTTACATTTATAAAAAGTTAGTTATTTTATTCATTGCAAGCAAGGGATTGAGTCTTCTGATATGCATGATGCTTTGTATATTGCCAGGAATTCTTGTTGGAGAACTCTATTTGTGTTTTGTGTCTGTTCAAATTATCACTTTTTAATATACCATTATGTTTTGAGTTCAGAAATTTGAATTTATACTTTTGAGGTTATATGTTTATTATCACTTAGAGTTATTTCATGTGAAATGCCATAATTACATTTTATCCTAATGTTTGTGCCCCTATGTGCTTATAAGTTGGCTTTTAGAGCAGAGTTGAGTATTTTGCATATATGCTGGGTTTATTAGAAAAGTACATACACTTTTTATCATATTTAAAATGTTATCATATTTAAATTTATAGAAGCAGAGGTTAGATATGTTAGTATTGTGAGCTGAACAAAGTGCAGGTTTACTTTAATTATTTTTGGGAGGTTGATATAATGGCTTCTTCCCTGTTCTATTCCTGCAGTGGTTGTCTATGATCAGATGTGTGGCCTGGAGAATTTTTTTTTCACACTGGGTGTTGAACTCAGGGCCTTCTATGTGCTTGATAAGCACTTAGCTACATACATCCCCAGTCCTTTTTAAAATTTAATTTTGAGACATGGTCTTGCTATATTGCCCAGATGGGCCTCAAATTTATGATCCTCTTGCCTTAGCCTCCCAAGCAACTGGGATGACAGGCATGTGCCTGGCATGTCCTGGAGGAGTTTGATGCCATTATCATGTTTACAATGTGTTAATAATTTCATAAGCTATATTATGTCCATTTTTCTTCTCAACAGTCAATAAAGCCTTTTTATTTTTTCAATGGTATTCTTTAACATGAACATGCTTTAAGATGTGTCCCTGCTGTTCATGATAGTCTAGTTATGCAATTCACAGCAAGAGTATTTTGATTCTGATAGTCTCAATGGTGTTTCGGGTCCAACATATTTTCCTGGAAGCAGTGATCATTCATTTCCTATTTGATTACACAAATAAGATACAAATTCTTTTTTTATGGGCCTCCTACATGTTGGGCAAACACTCTTCCACTGAACTGCATTGACAGCTCCATAGATCCTTTAGTTATGATTAGCTTCATGACTAGCTAGAGTGATAATAAAATTACATAGAAGTTCTTCTGAATTTGAAACTTTAAAGGGTCTGGGCATCTAATAATTCTTTGTAATCTCTAAAGAGTAGAGTGTTTTTCCATCCATGCCTGATCTTAGCAGCATCTAAGATCAGGCATGGATGGAGCTGCCACCTATGCTCCTTGTGTCTCACTATTTCCTTCAGAATGTCATGGAGGAAATGAACCTTTGTGTCTTTTTAAACTCTTCTGCTCACAAGGCAGATTGTTTTCCAATCTTGTTTACCTTTTTCTTTTCATTTAAGAGTTTGGGCATCTGATAGTTCCTTATGATTTTTAGAAAGTAGAATGTTTTCCCATAACACAGAAGCATCTAAAGTCACTGTTGGGCTGACTACCACCTGTACTTTTCTGGGCTCACCACTTCTTGCAGAGCATCATGAAGATGAACACTGGTGTCCTCTTAAACTCTAATGCCAGAAGGTGTCACTCATCATCACTGCCAATGTTGTGGCAGTTACCTTTTTCTTTTCTTTGACTATTTGTCCAGGGAAAATATTTTATTTTATTATTGCTAAAGTGTATGCATAGAAACAAAATAGAGACAAGGATTCTTTGGGATAACTAATCCAAAGTTGAAGTGAGTCAATTTGCCATTGGAACATATATTTTTATAAAGTGGATCTTTTGATAAAATTTGGCCATTAGTTAAAATAGAATCTCATTTTTTCCTCTAAAGTGATGAAGTTTTTAGAAGTACCTAGTGACAGCATAAAAATATAACAAGTTTACATGTGTTTTTACTTCAACACAGAACATAACAGAGGCACTTGTCTTGAATTAAATATTAGCTTGAGTTATTTGATTTTTATGTTATAATAAATTTTATGTTCATAATAAAATACAGAACTAGCTAATAGTGTCATTTACCAGTAATTAACTATACAAATAATTTAAAAAACAGGTGTTTCTGAAAATGTAGCCATGTTTATTTATTTATTTTTTAGTTTTAGGTGGATACAATATCTTTATTTTACATTTATGTGGTGCTGAGGATTGAACCCAATGCCTTGTGCATGCTAGGTGAGCTCTCTACCACAGAGCCACAACCCCAGCCTAGAAATGTAGCCATGTTTAAAGTTTTATTTGAGTATCTTTATATTTATACAGAAATTTCAAAGAAAGTTTCAACCTGATTTTTCCCTTGTGATGACTTAGGTGCACTATTGCTGGTAGCAGGCCCGCCCTGGCCCCTGGGGACTCAACCCCCAGTTCTTTGTTATGCATGTTAATGTGGCCAGCTCACAAGGCTGTGACGCGGGCTTGCAGTTCCCTGTTTATCTGCCTGGAGCATATGTGTCTCTTGGGAACATCTTGACCTGTTTGAGCCTCCTGATAGGGGACGGTGACGTGACGGTAACCCAAGGACTCAGTTATTACTCTTCCCTCCTCACTTTTGAGTGATTTCCCGCAGCTGTTAAAAAGATATATAAGGGGAACAAATTTGGCAATAAAGCACGCACATGCTCCCTCCTGGATGAAGAACCTTGGTGTCCTGTGTATTTTTTAACCCCGCCGTCCCTCGCCGGATTCGACTCCGTTAGCCGGACGCGGAATCTGGAGGTTCGCACCGAGATCCGGAAAGTAGGGGTAAGCGGACGGGGCTCACCTTCTAAAGGTAGAAGGGGGAGGATTGGTTTAAAGATAATTTAAAGAGACAGGGTACATACCATGGGTAACTCAACAGCGAAGGTTCGTCTGGCCAATGAACTAAAAGAGCTGTTAAATACACAAGGAACAGGAATAAAAACTAAGACTGCAACCGAATTCATTGAAGTTATCGCCCAGGCTTGTCCTTGGTTTCTGACAGGAGGCTTTCTCAATAACAATGATTGGGATTTAGTTTGGCAACAGCTTCGCAGGGCTGTGTTGTCCGGAGGGGATATTTTGTTGTGGAAAAGTGAAAATCAAGAGAGGTGTGGCGAGCTAGCCCGAGTCAATCAGGATGCCGGCTTCCCACGGCGTAACCTCGAAATGTTAACAGGCTCGGGACAATATGCTGTCATAAATCAGCAAATTAATTATGATCCTGGGGGTCTATGCTCAGATAGCCTCAGCTGCGGTCCATGCCTGGAAAGCCCTGCCTGTTTCTAAGACTGAAGCAAAAATTTCAAAAATTGCTCAAGGACCCTCTGAACCTTATTCGGACTTTATAGCCAGCCTAATGCAGGCGGCTGGAAAAATATTCCCTAATCTGGAACAGGCTATGCCACTTATTAGACAACTGGCATATGAAAACGCTAACACTTACTGCCAAAATGCTATTAAGTCCTCCCGGGCCAAAAGTATAGATGACATGATTCGAGCATGCAAAGATATAGATGGGCCTCATATTACTGGTCAGGTTTTGGCTGCTGCCCTTAAGACTGGAATGCAAAAATCTGATAACAGGGGAACCCGCTCTAAGGGGTGTTTTAAGTGTGGGAAAGAGGGACATATAAGGAGAAACTGCCCGGAAAGGAGCGAGGGTGCTGGCAGAGGGACGCTTGGAATTTGTCCTCGATGTCATAAAGGAAATCATTGGAGTAGTGAGTGCAGGTCAAAATTTGACATCCAGGGTAACCCAATACCGTCGGGAAACGGGAGCAGGGGCCCGCCCCAGGCCCTGGAAGCCAAAGTGTACGGGGCAGTGCAGGGACGAAACAGTGCCCCGGGGAGTGGGCATCTCCGCCGCCTCCCCCTGACCAACCCCTTTCTATCTGGGAACTCCTCAGGGGAACACCAGGAAGCGCAGGACTGGACCTCAGTTCCACCTCCCGAGCAGTACTGACTCTGCAGATGGGTCCCCAGACCCTGCCGACTGGAGCCTTTGGCCCTTTGCCAGAGGGAACTGTGGGACTGATACTGGGAAGAGGCAACACTCTGCATAAGAGGCTCAGAATTCTTACAGGTGTGGTTGATGGTGATTACCACGGGGAGTTAAAAATTGTTGCCGAGGCTACCCAAGGGATCGTTATTATTCCTCCCGGAGAACGCATAGCACAATTATTGCTGCTGTCAGCGGCGTCCCTACCCAGCTGCGCCCTACAGGCAGCCCGGGGTAATGGCAGTTTTGGTTCCACCGGCACCCCTCAAACCTTTTGGGTAGCACACTTGGACTCCCGACCACAGTTAACCATTAAAATACAGGATAAAATCTTCAAGGGGATATTAGATTCAGGAGCTGATGTCTCTGTTATCTCTAAGAAACAATGGCCATCTGCTTGGCCTCTCCAAGATCCCTCAGCTGTATTACAGGGGATTGGGCAGACGAGACCAGAAAAAAGTGCCTCCTTTCTAAAATGGAGAGATGAGGAAGGACACAGTGGTTATTTTCAGCCTTACGTAGTGGCTGGACTCCCCACAAACCTTTGGGGAAGGGACCTACTTCAACAAATGGGAGCTATCCTCACCACTCAGACCCTAAAAGGGAGTAATAAATTTGTTAATGACATGATGTTAGATATGGGATGGCTTCCCGGAAAAGGACTGGGGAAAAGACATGAGGGAAGGGCAACGCCTGTGGACCCTACAGAAGAAATTACCAGAAGTGGAGGAGATCGGAGGGGGCTAGGAAATTTATCCTAGGGGCCACTGAAATGCAGCCATGTCCTCTATCTATTACTTGGTTATCAGATGACCCTGTGTGGATAGGACAGTGGCCCCTAACTAAGGACAAATTGCAGGCCGCGACCCTTCTGGTTCAGGAACAGCTTAGGGTGGGGCATATAGTGCCTTCCACTTCCCCCTGGAACACTCCTATTTTTGTCATAAGAAAGGGGTCTGGAAAATGGAGGCTTCTCCAAGACCTGCGGGCTATTAATAATACCATGCAGCCCATGGGACCTTTACAGCCAGGACTACCCTTCCCCACGGCTATCCCTAAAGATTGGCATCTTATTATTTTGGACCTAAAAGATTGCTTCTTTTCTATTCCCCTGGCCCCCCAGGATTGTAAACGTTTTGCTTTCTCTTTACCTTCAATAAATTTTAGGGAACCCTATCAGCGGTTTGAATGGACTGTCTTACCTCAAGGAATGGCCAATAGCCCTACTATGTGTCAGTACTTTATAGCAAAAATTCTGCAACCCTTTAGGCAACAATTCCCAAACTTTTACCTCGTCCATTATATGGATGATATATTGTTGGCAGGCCCTGATAGGAAAGCACTTTTCTGGTCTTATGAAGTCCTCCAGTCCCTGTTAAAGGGGGCCGGACTGATTATAGCCCCAGAGAAGGTGCAGATTCAGTATCCTTATAACTACCTAGGATATACTATTAACAAGGTAGGGATCACTCCCCAGAGGCCTCAATTTCAGGTGAAACAGCTCAAAACCCTGCACCAATGGCAGACATTTCTGGGGGAAATCCAATGGCTGGGCCTTCCCTCCATATCCCTACTGGTGAACTTAAACCCCTGTATGACCTTTTGAGAGGAGACCCCTCACCCACCTCCCCGCGAAAACCTACTCCAGAAGCCTTGAAGGTGCTTAGATTAGTAGAGACAGCCTTACAAGAGATGCAGGTGATGCAGGTGGACTACTCCCAGTCCTTGTTATTCATTGTTCTGCCATCAAAACTCACCCCGACTGGAGTCTTTTGGCAGACTGGTCCTATTTATTGGGTTCACTTACCTGCGTCCCCCTCCCGGGTCTTGATACCTTTCCATGATCTGGTAATACAATTAGTTTGGAAAGCAAAATATCTAGGAGATGCCTTGTTTGGGAAAACCTTTGATGTTCTCATATTACCATATAATCAAGACATTCTTTCTAAATTAAGACAGGAACATGATCTCTGGTGTCTTTTCTTCTGTAGTTTCATGGGACAGGTTGACAATCACTACCCTAAAAGCAGGCTCCTTGAAAGCCTAAAGACATGTCCAATAATTTTCCCAAAGATCCTAAAAAAGGATCCTCTCCCGGGGGCACAAACCGTCTTCACTGACGGGGCCAAAAAAGGATTTGCTGTCGTTTCAGATGGGACCCAAGTCATCCGCAAGAGAGTGGCCGATTGTTTGGCCCAAAAAGTGGAGGTTGCAGCCTTAATATTGGCCTTACAGACCTATAGCTCGGTGCCCCTTAATGTTTTCACAGACAGTCTCTATATCGCCAGGCTCGCCTCCGCGATTGAGACGGCACCTTATATTGGAAAACAATCCACTATCATGGATCAACTACAAATAGTGCAGCTTCTTATATGGGCTAGGCAGACCCCCTCTTCATAGGTCACATTAGAAGTCATTCCGGACTTCCAGGTCCTCTGGTGGTGGGCAACGCCATGGCAGACGCTGCCACACATGCCACTAATTTTATATATACAATAACTGAGTATGATAAGGCCCTACAACTTCATAATAAATTTCACCTAAACGCACAAACTTTGCGTTTCCGCTCAGGATGTTCCCGGGATCAAGCTTTAAAAATTGTCTCCCTATGTCCTACTTGTGCACCTTTTATCCATTCCCCTTCTCTGGGAGTCAACCCAAGGGGCCTTCAGCCAAACGACATCTGGCAAACTGATGTAACTCGTATTCCTAGTTTTGGAAAACTGTCTTTTGTGCATGTCAGTATAGACACGTTCTCTGGTTTTATCTCCGCTACTTTACATTCAGGAGAAAAGTCTAAGGACGTGATACAGCACTATGTTAAAACCTTTTCCTTTATGGGAACCCCTCGATGTATAAAAACAGATAATGGCCCAGCTTATATTAGTCAAACCTTCCAAAAATTTTGCTCACAGTGGGATATTATACACAAAATAGGAATCCCATATAACCCCCAAGGACAGGCCATTGTTGAACGGGCCCATCAACATCTTAAAACCTATTTGCAAAAAACAAAAGAGGGGGAGATATACCAGAATTGTCAGGGACCACAAGCACTCCTAAGCATAACTCTATTCACTTTAAATTTTTTGCTCACTGACGCCGAAGGCCGTACAGCGGTGCAGCGTCACTTTTCCCCTCCCACCATACAAAAAGCACAGATAAGATGGAAGGATCTGGCTACAGGGAAGTGGCAACCCCCTGCTCCACTCTTGGCTAGAGTGAGAGGAGCTATATGTGTCTTCCCTCCAGGGACGGAAAAACCCATTTGGATCCCGGAGTGCTGCACCAGACCGGTGAATGAAAATTCAAGACAAAATGAAGTTCCCAAGATGGCTGATCCTGCCACTGTTGTTCCCACCCCTTCAAGTGAGTGCCGAGACACACCTCATGAGCTGGACCCCGCTTGTGGCATTCCTTCTGGACAGGTTTGTTGAAGGAGGGCTTGACCCCCCACCTGGGAATATTCATGAATATCTTTTTGGAGCCCCTTGTGAGTGTAAGGTAGGGCCCCGGCACTCGGCCCCCTCTGGTTATATCCAGAGCGTTGATTGTGGGACTAAAGTAGCCTACATGGTGGCTGAACTCAATCAAAACATCGGAGGATTTGAGCAACCAAAATGGGTATGTGTTAATAAGCCCGGACTTGTTGTCCCTAATCCGACCGAGACTCTTGGAAGCTGTTCCGCCACTTGTCATTACACCCCGGCAATGCACATCTCCTGTTATACATCGGCCTCAATTTGTGTTAATAATCAAGGAAAACAGTATTTTGAGGCCATCCTAACACCCGTGGAGAAGGGGGGACCACTTATAATTTTATTCCTTTTCTTGGTGACCGGGGAGGAGAAGGCATCACGACTCGGTTAACGGAGGCAGGATGTGAGGGCGTCGTGGGTAAACCCTCCTGCTGGCCCATGCAGGCCCCCATCGGAGTCTCTGATGGAGGGGGACCCACTGATGCTATCAAACACCTTCAGGCGATTAAGCTTTTAAAGCCGGATATCCCTAAGCCTACATACCACCCCTTGATATTGCCCAAATCCCAGCTTCCTGATTTAGATGCCAATACATTAGATATCCTAGAAACTACCTTTTCTTTACTTAACAACTCTGATCCTACGCTTGCTGGTGATTGCTGGCTCTGCATGACAGCAGGTGCAGTCATGCCATTGGCGGTCCCCATTAATTATACCATTGATGATGACAACACATGTCAATCTGGGCTACCCTTTAAGGTGCAGCCTCTAGGTGGTTTTATGTCTTGCCTTCTGGGCATGATGCAAAATAATACCTATGATGTTGATGTTGGAGTCTCTTCCTTTGGGAACTGCTCATTAGTAAAGAATTACTCTTCACCTCCTCTGCCCATTTGTCCCCCTAATGGTACAGTTTTTATGTGTGGTGGAAATTTAGCTTTTCCCAGACTCCCTACAAATTGGACAGGTGTCTGCGTTCTCACCCTGCTCCTCCCTGACATAACCATTGTCTCAGGAGATGAGCCCCTGCCCATCCCCAGCCTAGACACTCTAGTGAGAAGACACAGGCGAGCTATACAGGCTCTACCGTTACTCGCCACACTGGGGATAACGGCTGCTGTGGGCACAGGCACAGCTGGACTGGGTACAGCGATACATTCTTATGCCGTCTATCTCAGCAGCTTATAGAAAGGACTGGGATGAATGGGTTCCTGCCCTACCTTCTTCCCCTCCTGGGGCCCTTACTGGGTCTTCTTTTGATTGCAACCTTGGGACCTTGTGTTGCAAATAGGATAACTCAATTCATTAAGGACCAGATTAACATTTTAACCTCCAAGCCAATACAGGTTCACTACCAACGCCTGGAGATGGACGACTCCGCCCACGAGGTGTACTTAGGACCCATCCGGAGATGAGATGTAACTGGACAGGAGCCAATACCCGAGCCCTCCTATGTATGCCTGCTTTTGCCCAGGTCCCTAATTACCCTGCCGACTTGGTGCCGTCATCCCAGACCCTTACGTTCAGAAAGCTCCCTGGTCATAGCTATCCCACTGGCAAAGATGATGACTGGGATCCGCAGTTGTGTTCTGCTGGCCATGACATCCTAACTGAAAAGTGTCCGTTTATGTAGGACAAGAGCTGATCTTGTAGTATCCAGTGACGGGCAACTTCCATGCTTGCACTGCAACCTAAGCCAGGGGAATGGGGCCTCCCTAGAGATGGGTAAGCAGCGCAGGGGCGGTGGATGACCTAAGACAGGGTCTACTTGATTCCCATTGACATGCAAAAAACAAAAAAGGGGGACTTGCTGGTAGCAGGCCCGCCCTGGCCCCTGGGGACTCAACCCCCAGTTCTTTGTTATGCATGTCAATGTGGCCAGCTCACAAGGCCGTGAGGTGGGCTTGCGGTTCCCTGTTTATCTGCCTGGAGCATATGTGTCTCTCGGGAACATCTTGACCTGTTCGAGCCTCCTGATAGGGGACGGTGACATGACGGTAACCCAAGGACGCAGTTATTACTCTTCCCTCCTCACTTTTGAGTGATTTCCCGCAGCTGTTAAAAAGATATATAAGGGGAACAAATTTGGCAATAAAGCGCTCACATGCTCCCTCCTGGATGAAGAACCTTGGTGTCCTGTGTATTTTTTAACCCCGCCGTCCCTCGCAGGACTCGGCTCCGTTAGCCGGACGCGGCACACTATCTCAGATGTATTAACATCTTAGACCATTTGTCATGAAGAATAAACACTAGTATGGTATAATTAACTGAAGTTGTATTTCCTTTGGATTCTCAGTTCTGCCTCTTCCTGTTCCAGGACCCTGTCCAGGACCCTAAATGACATCCAGTCAACATGTCTCTGTAGACTCCTCTTGGGGTGACAGTTTCTCTGAACTTCCTTGTTCCAGTGACCTCGGCACCATGGGGAGGACCTGTCAGGTATCTTTTAGATTGTTCTACTTTGGGGTTTACCTGTTTTTCCTCACATTTAGACTTAAGCCATGTGTCTGGGGGAAGCAGTCACAGAGGTGGAGAGCTGCTCTGTCATCTCAAGCCCTCAAGGTGAATGTCATATTAGTACTGAGTGTGCTCAGCTGGCTGGGGGAGTGCCTTTCTTGTTTCCTTGTTTTTCTCTTGTTTAGCCTGGGGCTGTGAGTCTTAGGGAAGCAGGTCACAGAGGTGGACAGCTACTTTGTCATTTCAGACCCTCAAGGTGAATGGCATGTTAATACTTACTGTGCTCACCTGGCTGAGGTAGTGCCTTTCAAGTTTCTCTATGTGGGCATGTCCACATTGTGTTTTCTGGAGGAAGTCATTATACAGGGCCCACACTTAAGGATCAGGGAGTTAGCTTCACCTCCTTGATGGCTTTGTCTGCCTTAGTTATCTGATATGCTTCTTCACAAGAGGCACAAGAGAATTGCATATTGCAAATAGTTATCTCAGTCTATAGCTTTTCTTTTTGTTCTCTCTTTCACAGAGTATAAAATTTAATTTTTTCATGAGATGCTGGGGATTGAACCCAGGGCCTCACATATGCCAGGCAAGTGCTCTACCACTGAGCTATACCCCATCCCTTTAAAAATCTCCCAGGCTCAGCCTTTTGAGTAGTTGGGATTTGTAATCTCCCTGCCTCAGCCTTTTGAGTAGTTGGGATTCTTGGCATGCAACACCACACTTGGTAAAAATTTAATTTCATAAAGTCCATGCTATCAATATATTCTTCTGTCAATTTACTTTTAGTATTGTGTGTTAAAACTCATCACCAAGGGCTAAGGATGTAGCTGAGGTTTTATGTAGCTGAGGTTGTCTAACATGTGTACAGCCCTGCATTTGATCTCCAGTTCCAGAATGAACACACACACACACACACACACACACACACTGTTACCACTCTCTAAGATTACATGGATTTTCTTCTGTTTCTGTTTAATTTTTTTTCAAATTTTAGTTATGAAGATTATGAGTCAATATTTGTGGAAATTTTGGTTTACATATACATTCATTTCACTGAATATAGTTTCCAAAAGCTTGTTCAATCACCACTTTTTAACAAATAGTGTTTAATGAGTTTCATTTCTGTTTGAATTTCCAAAATTGGCCTTGAATAATCTGGATACAGTACAGTACTGAAGTTCATCTATTTCCCAGGAATGCCAGGAGTGCACCTCTGAACTGCAGTGTCCTGAATTGAGTCCCAGCCACCACCAGAGGGCGTGTCACCTTCCCAGACTTGGTGGTAACATGCTACTGATATGGCGATGTGATAGTGCTAACATGTTATTTATTTTTTTAAAAAAAAATTTTTTTAGAGAATTTTTTAAATATTTATTTTTTTAGTTTTCGGCGGACACAACATATTTGTTTGTATGTGGTGCTGAGGATGGAACCGGGGCCGCACACATGCCAGGCGAGCACGCTACCGCTTGAGCCACATCCCCAGCCCTAACATGTTATTTATATGCAGCCTCTAATGCTAATGCATTATCCATAGTGGCTTTTGATACTAACATGTCCACATGTGGCCTCTGATAGTAATATAGTACCCATAGCTATATTACATTCAGCCCTATCATCTTTAACATTAGCATAATGTCCATACTGTGGCCTCTAATATTAATGTAATATCCATACTATGACCTCTAACAGTAATATAATATTCATATGGTGGCCTTAGATGCTAATATAATATCAGAATCATACTCTCTAACAGTAATGAAATATGTACACTGTGCCCTCATAGCAATATAATGACTGCCCTGTGATTTTCAATATTAATGTAATGTCCAAACTGTGGTCTGTAATACTAATACAATATCTACATTGTGGCCTCTAACATTAATATAATATTAACACTTTTGTTAGTGAAACATCCATATTATAGCATCTAAGACTTATTTAATATCTGCCCAGTGGACTTTAGTGCTAAAAAATCTCCATAGTATAGCATCTAAACCTGATGTAATAGCTTTCCTGTGGTTTTTCATAATAATGTGGTATTTATAATATACAATCTGAAACTAATATAATAGCTGATCTTTGATGTTTAATACTAATATAATATACATGCATGGCCTTAAACTACTATAACAGCTGCCCTGTGGACTTTAATACTAATGTAATATCTACATGATGAAATCTAATTCCAATATAACACCTGCCCTTTGAAATTTACTACGAATGTAATATCCTTACTATAGCATATAAAGCTAATAAACTAGCAGCCCTGTAACCTAAACAATTATGATATTTACATCATAGCATGTAAAACGAGTGTAATAATTGCTCTGTAGCCTTTAACATTAATATAATATTAATACTGTGACCTCTCAAACTAATGTAATAGCTGTTCTTTGGCCTGCTAATACTAATATTGTATTCATACTATAGCATCAAAAACTGGCATAATAGCTGCCCTTTGGCCTTTAATAGTAATATAAACCCATAATATAGCATGTAAAACTGATATTATAGCTGCCTTGTGGCATTTGATACTAATATAATATTTATACTGAGGCCTCTAAAATTAATATAATAGTTTCCTGTGGACTTCAATGCTAATATGATATGCACTATGGTACCTAAAATATTATAATAGATGCATTGTGGTATTTAATAATAATAATATCCATACTATAGCATCTAAAACTAATACAATAGGTATCCAGTTGCTGCAGCTGAACTCAAGGTCACTCATGTGAATTTCCAGGGACACTAAATAAAATACAGACACACACTTTACCTTTAAACAAGCTTCAGGACGTCTTCTCCACTCTTGGCCTCAAGCTCCCCAAATGGGAGAGTAAGGAAAAGTCATGAGAGAGAGTGAGCACATTCAGAAGTGGGCTTTTATTGGGGGGACCCTTATTCTTAGAAAGTTCCATCCAGAAAAGTTCAGAAGGGGCCGGGTTACAAAGGACAGGTAAGTGTAATTTGACCTAAGGGGCTATAGGGCGACACACCTATGTCTGAAGACACATCCTCAAACTTCTGGGACCAGGGAAATATCCAGGTCACTATGAGATGCAGTGATGGTCAAGGCTTCTCCATTCTAGAATGGAAGATACAAATCATTCAGAGTGGTCTCCCATACCCAGTGGTTTTAATACTAAAGATATTTATACTATACCCTCTATAACTAATATAATGACATCCTTGTGGCTTTAAAACTATTATAATATCCATACTAAAACATTGAAAATAATTATAATGATTGACCTGTGGTCTTTATATGAATATTATAGTTATACTATAGCATCCAATACTAATATAAAAGCTGCCTTGTGATCTTGTAATATATTATAATCTTAATATGATATCCATAACATTGCATCTAAAACTAATATAATATCTGAGCTGTGGCCCTTAATACTTATGTAATTTTCATACTCAAGCACATAAAACATATAGTAACTGCCCTGAAACCTTTAATATAACAGCTAATATATTAGCTGTCTTGTGGTCTTTCATATTAATATAATATCCAAAATATATTCAAAACAAATGTAATAGTTGACCTTTGGTCTCTAATGCTAATATAATATGCACACTATAGCATTTAGTTCTAATATAATAACTGCTTTTTGGTCTTTTACAGTAATGTGATATCTGTATCAAAACATCCCAATCTAACAGTAGCTGTCTGATAGCCTTTCACACTAATGTAACATACATACTGTCTCATCTAATATAATAGATCTTCTGTGTTTTTTTATATTAATGTAATATCCACATATAGCATCTTAAACTAATTCATGTACTTTTGCCTCTAATACTAAAATAATGTTTATACTATAGCACCTAATGCTAATATAATAGCTGACCTCTGCTCTTTAATTCAAATGTGCATCTATACAACAGCCTCTAAAACTGATATAATAGCTGCACTGTGGCCTTTAATTTTAATATAAAATACATAATACAGCATCAGAAACTGATACTATAGTGACACTATGGCCTTACATACTAAGGTAATATCCATACAGTGGACTCTAAATCTAATATAATAGCTTTCTGTGGCCTTCAATACTAACATGTTATGCTCTCTGGTACTTAAAATATTATAATAGTTGCCCTGTGGTCTTTAATACTAATGACATCCATAGGATAACATTTAAATCTAATAAAATAGGTGCTCTGTGACCTTTTATATTAACATAATATCCATAATTTAGCATCTAAAACTAATGTAATACATGCCCTGTGGCCTTTAAATTTTTTTTTAGTTGTAGATGGACATGATACCTTTATTTATTTATGTATGTATTTATTTATTTTAGGTGGAACTGAGGATTGAACCCAGAGCCTCACATGTGTTAAGTGAGTGCTCTACCGCTGAGCCACAAACCCAGCCCATAATTTGTTTATTTTTGTGTGGTGCTGATGATCAAATCCACTGCCTCACATGTGCTAGGCAAGCACTCTACCACCAAGCCACAACCCCAGCCAGCCCTGTGGCCTTTTAAAAATATTTTTTAAAGTTATAGATGAACACATACTTTTATTTTTTAAATTTATTTTTATGTGATACTGAGGATCAAACCCATTGCATTATGCATGCCAGGCAAGTGCTCTACCACTGAGTCACAACCCCAGCCCCTGCCCTGTATCCTTTAATATTAATATGATATAAAAATTATGGTCCCTGAAATTATTTTAAAAGCTGTCCTGTGGCCTTCCAATACAGATATTATATCCATCCTATAGCTTCCCTCTGCCCTTTAATATTAATATAATTACCTTGTGATAACATGTAAAACTAATATAATAGCTTCCCTATAGACTTCACTATTTAAAAAAAATATTCTTTGATTCACCTTTATTTATTTTATGTGGTGCTGAGACTCAAACCTAGTGCCTCATGCATGCCAGGCAAGTGCGCTACTGCTGAGCCATAACCCCAGCCCAAACTTCACTATTAATATATCATCTATATTATGACCTCTAAATCTAATATGATAGCTGTCCTGTGACCTTTGTTATTGATATGATCTCCATAATGTGGCATGGAAAACTGATAAAATAGCTGCTCTGTGGCATTTACTATTAATACAATTTTCATATTATAGCATCAAAAACAGATATCAGAGCCATTAGAGGCCTTTAATACTAATATGATATCCAAACTATAATACCTAAAATGAATATAGTAGCTGGGCTGTGGCCTTTAAATGTAATGTGATATCCATACTGTGGCATCTAAAACTAATATAATAGCTCCCCTGTAGCTTTTAAAACTAATATGATATCCATATTATGGCCTCTAAAACCAATGTAATAGATATCCTGTGACCTTTAATATGAATGTGACAATTTTCTACAACCTGTGAAAGCAATATAATAACTCTCTGGCGGATTTTAATATTTAATATACATGATATAGAATCTAAAACTGATAAACAGGTACTCTGTGGCCTTTAACATTAGCATGCTAGCTGGGGTTGTGTCTCAGTGGTAGGGTGCTTGCCTAGCATGTGTGAAGCACTGGGTTTGATTCTCATATAAACAAAAATAAATGAATAAAGGTCCACATATAAACAAATAAATGAATAAATGTGCATCAATAACTAATAAAAAAATTTAAAAATATTAGCATGATATTTTTATTATAGTACATTAAGCTAGTATAATATCTGCTTTTTAGCCATTAAACTAATGATATTTATGGTATACTATTGAAATTAATATATCAACTGTCATGTTGACTTTAATACTAACATGTTATGCATATTTGAACATCTAAAAGTGACATAATTCTTAACCTGGGCCTTTAATACTAATAAGATATCCATGCTAGAACATCTAAAACTGATATAATGGCTGCTCTGAGATCTTAAAAACTAACAAAATATCCATCCTATAGTTTCCAAAGCTAATATAAGAGCTGCCCTGTGGCCTTTAATGATATAATATATGTAATACTAATATGATATTTATATTATGTCATCTTAAGCTGATAAAATAGCTGCCCTGTGACCTTTAATATTATACTAATATTATACTAATATCATACTGTGGTATCTGAATTAATATAATAGCTGTACTGTAGTCTTAACACTAAATAATATACATACTGCATCACCTAAAATAGTTGCCATGATGCCTTTAATACTAATATGATATCATACTAGTAGAACATCTAAAACTGCTTAGTGTAGCATCGAAAACTGATATAATAGCTGCCCTGTAGCCTTGATACTATATATATATATATACACACTCTATCATCTAAAATGGATATAATATCTCCCCTGTGGTCTTAATACTAATATTAATATAATTGTTGTCCTGCAGCCATTAATACTAATTTGATGACTTGTTTTGGTATCTAAAACTGATAAGATAGCTGCCCTTTGGCCATTAATATTTATAAATTCTCCATAATGTAGCATCTGAATCTGATATAATAGCTGCCAACACTATTATGATATCCATAAAACTATATAAATATATTTTAGTATCTAAAACTAATATAATAACTAAACTTTAGCCTTTAATACTAATGTAGTATGTTTACTGTAGCATTTTGCAGTACTGTAAAAATTTCTCTGTGGCATTTAGTATTAATATATGCATACTGTGGCTGTAGAATAGGATTGTATAGCTCTCCTCTAGCCTTTCATATTAGTATAATATCCATACTACAGCATCTACATTAATATAATAGCTGCTCTGAGGATTTAATATCCATGTACTATTCATACTATAGCAAGTATAACTAATATAATAACTGCCCTGAGGTTTAAATACTATTACATTACTCATACACAGCATTTAAAATTAATATAATAACTTCCCTGTGACCTCTAATGTTAATAAAATATCCAAACTATATCCAATGAAAGGCAAGTGACTCACTTGAGATGGAAATTCAACCAAGAGTTTTTATTGGGGAGCTGCCTGAAGGGGAAGAAAAGGAGAGGAAGAGAGCAGAAAAGGAGAGGAAAAGAGCAGAAAGGGAGAGGAAGAATACAGAAAAGGAGAGGAAGAAAGCAGCAGTGTGAGTCTACAAGCTTCAGCTTAAGAAGGGCTGCTTTGGTGACGTGGTGGGTGCTGAATGGCATGGTGACTCAGGAATGGGTGGTGATTGGCACAAAACTGATATAATAGATGCCCTGTAGTCTTTTATACTAAATTAATATCCATGGTATAGCATCTCAAGCTAATATAATATCTGCCCTGTAGCCACTAATGTAATACCCATATGATTGCATCTAAAACTGATATAATAGAAGTAGTTGGACACAATACCTTCATTTTGTTTATTTATTTTTTTATGTGGTGCTGAAGATTGAACCCAGGGCCTCACACATGCTAGACAAGTGCTCTACTGCTGAGCCACAATCCCAGCCCCTGCCCTGTATCTTTTAATACCAACATGACATCCTTATTATAGCATCTTAAATTAGTATAATAGATACTCTATGGCCTTGATTATGATATCCATATAATATGATATCAATAATACAACATTTAAAATGGATATAATATCAGCCCTATGACCTTTAGCCTTAAATTTAATAAAATATCTATACTATGTCTTCTAAAAGTAATATAATAGCTGCCCTGTGGATTTTGATACTATTATGATATCCATAATATAGCATCTAAAGTTAATATAATTTAACTAAATGCCTATAGCTCTGGCATTTAATAGTAATATGATATCCAAACTATAGTACCTAAAGTGACTATAATAGCTTAATACTAATAGGATATACATAGTATAGCATATAGAACTAATATAATAACTGAAGTTTTGGATTTAATACATTGCTTTTGGTACTAGAAATTGAAACTAGGGGCATTTAACCCTATCCCCAGCCCTTTTTAGATTTTTTAAAATTTATTTTGACACAGGGTCTTGATAAATTACTTGGGGACTCACTAAGTGGCTGAGGCTGGTCTTGAACTTGTAATCCTCCTGCCTTAGCTTCCTAACTCACTGGAATTATAGGCATGTGCCACTGCCTGGCTGGGCTTTAATACTAATTCAGTGTGTATATGTATACTACATCATCTTTTTTTAAATATGTATTTTTTTAGTTGTAGTTGGGCACAATGGCTTTATTTTATTTATTTTTATGTGGTGCTGAGGATCAAATCCAATGCCTCACCCATGCTAGATGAGTGCTCTACCACTGAGTCCCAGTCCCAGCCCCACTACATCATCTTAAAGTACTGTAGGAGCTGCCTGTGACACTATTGTTAATATTATAACCATACTGTGGCCTCTTTAGGTAATATTATAGCTCTCCTGTGGCCTTTCATATTAATACAATATCCACATATAGCATCTAATGCTAATATACTAGCTGCCCTATGGTCTTTAGTAATATCAACACTGTGCCCCCTAAAACTTAAATGATAGTTGCCCTGTGGCCTTTTAATACTATATGAAATCCATACTACAGCATCTAAAATGAATACAATACCTGCTCTGTGACCTTCAATTCTTTTATGATATCCATACTACAGCATTTAAAACTAATAAAATAGCAGCCCTGTGGCCTATAGTTTTAATGTAGTATCCATACTTTATCATTGTAAATAATATAACAGTTGTCCTGTTGTTTTATTTTATTTATTTATTTTTATGTGGTGCTGAGGGTTAAACCCAGGGCCCTACACTTGCTAGGAAAGTGCTCTATCACTGAGCCACAACCTCAGCCCCTGCCCTGTTGTCTTTAATACTAACATCATATCCATAGTATCTAAAACTTATTACTTAGCTTCCCTGTAACCCTTAATATTAATATAATATCTATAGTATAACATCTGAAAGAAATATAATACATGCCCTGTGGCTTTTAATATTGATATAATATCCATCCTATTGCATCTTAAGCTAATATAATAACTGCCTGTGGTTTTAATATTATTATGATATACAGAACAGCATGTAAAATTAATATACTAGCTTCCCTTTGGCCTTTAATGTTAATATAATATCCATGCTCTGTCTTCCAAAACTATTAAAATAGCTGCATTGTAGCCTTTTATAATAAAATGATTCCATTAATTAATAAAATAAAATAATGGCATTTCAAGTCAATATAATAACTGCCCCATAGCTTTTAATACTAATTCAATATCCATACTGTTACATCTAAGATTGCTATAATTCCTGCTCCATGGCCTTCAATACTGATATGATATCCATAATAGAACATCAAAAACTGATAAAGTGGCTGCTCTGTGTCCTTTAAGACTAATATAGCATTTAAAATTGATATGACAGCTGCTCTGTGGCCTCTGATGTTAAAATGATATCCATGATATAGCATTTAAAACTGATATAGGCCCAGGCGCAGTGACACATGCCTATAATCCCAGTGGCTCAGGAGGCTGAGACAGGAGGATCATAATTTCAAAGCCAGCTTCATTCAGCAAAAGTGAGGTGCTAAGCAACTCAGTGAGACTCTGTCTCTAAATAAAATATAAAATAGGGCTGGGATGTGACTCAGTGGTCATGTCCCCCTGAGTTCAATCCCTGGTACCAAAAAAATAAAAAATAAAAATAAAACTGATATAGTATCTGCCCTGTGGCCTTCATAGCTTATATGATATCTATATTGCAGCATCTAAAAGTAATATAATAGCTGCCCTGTTGTGTTTAATACTATTATTATGTCCATCCTATAGTATCAAAAATTGATATAACTGTTCTGTGGCCTTTTGTATCATATGTTAAATTAAACATAATATTGCATTGAAAACTGATATAATAGCTGCTCTGTGGCTTTTGGTTCTAATGTGATATCCATATATAGCATCTAAAACTGGCATGAGAGCTGTCCTGAGGCCTTTAGTACTAATATAGTATTCATACCATAGCACCTGAAAATAATAAAATAACTACATGATGGTGTTTAATGCTAGTATGATATTCATAGTGTAGAATATATCACTAATACAATAACTGCCCAGTAACCTTTAATATCATTATGATACCCAACTATATTTTCTAAAACTGATATAAAAGCTGCTAATGGCTTCCCAGTCACTTTTTTTTACTGAGCTACATCCCCAGCCCCCCACCCCCCACCATTTAAAAAAATTTTTAGTTGTATATGGACTAATATAATAACTGAAGTTTTGGATTTAATACAATACCTTTATTTGTTTTTATATGGTGCTAGGATCAAACCCAGTGCCTCACATTTGCAAGGCAAGTGCTCTGCCACAGAACAACCCCAACCCCCCTTTTTTAAAAAAATTGAAACAGGGTCTCACTAAGTTGCTTAGGGCCTCACTAAGTTGCTGAGGCTGATCTTGAACTTGTGATCAGTCTTATATTCAAAACTAATATAATAGCTGCCCTGTGGTGATTATAATTAATATATTATCTATATTATAGATTCTAAAACTAATAAAATATGGCCTTTCATACCAATATAATATCCATATTATATAATCTAAAACCAATATAATACTATAGTATCTGATAATAATATAATAGCTTTCTTCTAATATTTATAATTTATATAATATAGATATTATAGATTTTAAAATTAATGTAACAGATGCCCTGTGACCTTCAATTTTAATATAATATCCATACTATGACATCTAAAATTAATATAAGAGCTACCCCATGATCTTTAATACTAACATGATATTCCGCACAATAGCATTGAAAATTGATTTTATTAGTGCCCTGTGGCTTTTAACATTAATATAGCATCTTTAGTAGAGCATCTGATACTGATATATAGGCTGTCCTGTGAACTTTAGTGTTCATATGATGTAGATCCTACTGCAACTCAAATTAATTAAATCACTGACTTGTTTCCTTTATTATTAACATATTATCCAAACTGTGGCCTGAAAAACCAATATAATAATTTTCTGTGGCCTTTAACATTAATATGATATTAACAGTGTGGCTCCCAGAACCAATGTAATTGTTTCAATGTTGCATTCATGCTAATATGATGCCCATAAGATAGCATCTACAACTAATGCAATAGCGGTGCTGAGGCCTTGACATGAATGTGATATCAATACTATGGCATCTGAAATGAATATAATACTGGCCTGAGGCAAGTAATACTAATACAATAGCTGATTTTTTTTTGTAAAGAGAGTGAGTGAAAGAGAGAGAGAGAGAGAGAGAGAGAGAGAGAGAGAGAGAGAGAGAGAGAATTTTTTTAATATTTATTTTTTAGTTTTTGGTGGACACAACATCTTTATTTTATTTTTATGTGGTGCTGAGGATTGAACCCAGCGCCCCGTGCATGCCAGGCGAGCATGTTACCTCTTGAGCCACATTCCCAGCCCACAATAGCTGATTTTTGCATTCAATTATATTCATGCTGTGAGTTCTAAAGCAAATATAATCTGTCCTGTGGCCTTAAATATGAATATAATATCCATACAATAGTATCTAAAGCTAATATAATAACTGCCTTGTGGACTTTAATAATAATATAACGTTCATAAATTAGTATTTAAAACTATTGTAACATATCAATTTGATATAAAAGCTATGCTGTGGCCTTTAATACTAATATAACATTCCTACTATACTATCAAAAACTGATAAAATATGTGTTCTGTGACCTATACTTATTCCCATAATATACCATGTAAAACTAATATCTGCCTTGTGGATATTATGTTAATATACATACTATAGTATCTAAAATTAATATTATAATTATAAGATAGCCACACTATAATACTTTAACAGTAGAATGATATCCATATTATAGTATCCAAATCAATATAATACCTGCCCATGGCTTTTAACATTGATGTAATATCCATATTATAGCATCTTATATTAATATATTAGCTGCCCTGTGGAATTTTATACATATATGATATCTAAATATAGCATCTAAAACTAATATAATAGGTCCTTTTTTGGTTTTCTAACTATGATAATATTCATACTATTGCATATAAAATTGATATAATACCTGCCCTGTGGCCTTTAATATTAATATAATTTCTGTAGTGTGGTATCCAACAGTAATAGAAGAGCTGCACTACAGGCTTTCTTACTAATATATATTTCCATTGTATAACATCTAAACTAACATAGAAGCTGCCCAGTGGCCTTTGAATTAAGTTAATATTTTTTTTTTCAGGATTGACTGTCTTTATTTGGTGGCAATAAAAATAGCTTCAGATTAGTTGTTAAATGTACAGTTAACAGTTACCCTTTAACATGGGCAAAATAAAGAGGGGATAGGAAAACTGAGACCAGGGCAAAGGCAGTGTGAGCCCAACCACTGTAAGCTCTGATGTACCCCGGTACTTCAACAGGGGCAAAAAGGCCAAAGTACTGATTGCTTTCCAAACAGCATGTTTTCTCTTTTGAGTCTATTGATGGTTACATTTCATTGTACTTTGTAAAATATAGTCAGCCACTGTAAGAAAAAAAAAACATCACATTTTGTCAGAAGATATATATTCATATAATAAGTTCAGAATCACTGGTTTTTGTCTTTGTCTTTTCTTCCCTGACTGTTTAGGTGTTGGAGTCTCTACTGCTCCTTCTTCACCGTATACGGCCTGCTTGAAAACTATTTCATTATCTTCATCATCATCCATTCCCGCCACTTCAGATTTTAGTTTCTCTAACATTGTTGGTGTACAAACTGGTGTAGGGCCCTGGCTATCTATAGACTTCTCAGGAGTGGCAGCAGTGCCTTTAGAAACCCACTTCTTCTTCTTCTTTGGTATGCCTGAAGACTTTTTCTTCTTTGTAGGTTTATCTGAAGGATCTTTGGTCTTACTGGATGATAAAACCAATGAAGAAAAATCATAATTAATTCCTTTTGCTGCTATTTTTTTTCCTGAGAAATTTTTCTTTCTTTTTAAATTGCTCTTCCATTTGCATTTTTGAAAAAATGTCGGATTCCGATTATACCGCTTCATGGCTGGATACGATGGCTGACGAAATGGAGCATTCCACTCTTTAAAAAGTTTTTTGTGTACTTTTTCTGGTGGCATAAAATGACACACCAAGAGTCTTTCACCAAAAATGTAGTTATTCATTGTTTCAGCAACTATCTTGGCAACATCTTCAGACTTATACTCCACAAAGGCATAGCCTCTTCTATTTCCAATCTTTTTACTTCTGGATAGTCTAAATCTTATAATAGTGCCAAACTGGGAGAAATATGCTTTGATTTGGGTTTCATAAAGTGCTGGAGACAGAAGGCCCACAAAAATTACTCCAGGAATAAGTTTTTCTTGCTTTTTTTTTGCTGGGTTACTCGCTGGCTGACGTGCTGCACTTCCTTCTGAAACTGGACGTCTTCCTGTGGGTTCAGTGAAAGAATCGGCCTGGGTGGGACAACGAACGGAGACCCCACCATGTTGAGACCCGCAGCAACACACCTCCACGTGGCACGCTCCTGGAAATTAAACTAATATTAATAACATAACATCTTAAACTATTATAGTAGCTGAACTTTGGCTTCAAGACTAATATTACTTGTTAATATAATAGCTCCCTATTATATAAAACTGATACACTAGCTTCTATGTGGCTTTGAATATTAATGGAATATCCATGCTATTGAATCTAAAACTAATAAAATATCTGAGCTGTGGTCTTTAATACTAATATGATATTCTTATTATATCATCATCTAAAACTGACACAATAGTTTTCCTATGGTCTTCAATATTAATATGATATCCATATTTGAGTATTTAAAATGAATACTAATGTGATACCAATATATAGCACCTAAAACTGATATAATAGCTGCCCTGCGGCATTTAAGTTTTTTATATTCATCCTGTGGGCTGTAAAATTAATATAATAGCTGCCTTATTATCTTTAATGCTAATATGTTATCCATACTAGAGAATCTAAATTGACACAATAGTTTCCCTGACCTTTAATACTATTATAATATCCATAATAGAGTATTAATTGTAATATGATAGTTGCCATATGGCAATTAATATTAATTTGTTATTCATACTATGGCATCTTATATTAATATAATATCTGTAATATGGCCTTTAACACTCATATAATAGGCATGCTGTTATCTAAAACTGATGTAATATGTGCCCTGTGACCTTTAATACTAATATAGTCTCCATAATAACATCTATGCTGCCCTGTTATCTTTAATATGGTATTCATTACTAGAGCATCTAAAAGTAATGTAATGGCTAACCTTTGGCTTTTCATACTAATATCAAATCTATACCTGTTATGGTTTAGATATGAAATTCCTAAAAGTCCCTTGCTAAGACAGTGGAAGAAAGTTGAGATGTCAAAAGATTTGGTTATAAGAGCCTAACCTAATTAGTACATTAACTCACACATTGGGATCAAGTGGTTTTTAACCAGAGGCTGTTAATTTAAGGTGGGTGTTTACTTAGGGTGTGGCTGGAGAGATGGGTCACTGGGGACATGCCTTTGGGGTTTATATTTTGTTCATGGTGAGCAGAGATCTCTTTCTTCTTATTATTTGCCATGCCCTGAGCCTCTTTTCTCTTCCATACCCTTTGGCCATGATCATGCTCTGTCTTACCTTGGGCCAAAAACAATGCAGTTGGTCATATTTGGACTGAGACCTCTGAAACTATGAACACCCAGTAAACTTTTCCTCCTCTAAATTTCTTCTTGTCAGGTCTTTTCATCACAGTGGCAGAAAAAGCTAACTAAAACACAAAGTGGTACCTAGAGTGGGTTAATTGCTGTAAATAACAGCACATGGTCACATGGGGTTCAGAAGACTTTGAAGCTGTTTTTTTGGGGAAAGAAATTTTGAAAAGTTTAGAGATGCAAGCTGGAGCTTTCGAATGTTGTCAGTGGAGCTTAATGGGGGGTTCTGGTGGGAGCCTATAAGTCTTTAATGCTGACAGGAGTATAGACAGTAACAATTGGACTTGTGAGGTTTTAGGAGAAGAGAACTGTATTGGAAATAGGATGAGAGGCCATTTTTATTAAATTCTGGTTAAGAAGTTATGTATATTTTGCTTTGTTCTGAGACTTTCTGGGAGGCTGAATTTAAAGGTGATAGTGTAAATAATCTGGTGGTGCAAATTTCAAGGCAAGCACAGCATTCAGGCAGGGACACAATTATTTCTGGCAACTTTTGGCCAAGTTTACTGTGATAATCAGGATCATAAATCAGTGGAGAAATATTTGAATAACTTTCAGTTTTGTCAGAAAAGTGTGAGGCAAACTGAGGCTAAAGGAAGTTGTGGTTGTTAAAGAAATTAGAACCACAAAAGAGATGCTAAATGCTTTTCACAGAGACAATAGGAAAGTTGGCCTGAAGGCATCTCAGGAATTGGCAAGACCATCCCCATCCTGTTTGCACAAGGGGGCCTAGGAAGTTGTTTCACCATACTTAGAGGCTGAGGCACCTAGAGGCTGCTGAAACCATGGTCTCAGGGGGCTTGGCTGCTACTTGAGATGGTGGGAACTTGGCATCAACCTTGTGGTGCTGGTTCTGTAGGATTGAAAGATGCTGGACTAAGGGGGTCATGGAGGCTTCCATGGAGATGTCAAAGGAAAACCTGGGAGACTAGGCAAAGTGTAACAGGGTTGGAGTCCCTGCAGGTATCTCCTGAGAGGCTGATGAATGAAAAAGTGAGAAGGAAGCTAAAACTGCAGTGAAGAACTCTGGGATTAAGAGATGCCAGTATCATGGAACATCTGCCAAGGAAATCTCAAGGAATTGAGCAGAGACAGGCCAAGAAGAGGCCATGTAGACTGCTACTAACAAAAGGATAGGAGCTACACAGGAACTTTGGATAGAATATCACAATGCCATATGCCTCAGATGCTGGATGTGGAAATACAGGTCTTGTTTGCCCAGCTGGATTTTGGACTTGCTTTGGTCCCATCCCTTCTCTCTATTTGCCCCTATTTCTCCCTTGTGGAATGGAAATGTTTACTCTGTGTCATTATATATTGGATGTATGTATATACTGATTTTTACAGGGGTTCACACTGTGATTTTGTTTTGAGTCTCAGAAGAGACTTTGGAATTGGACTTTTGGGGAATGCTGGAACTGTTAAGAACCTCTAAACTCTTGGAAATGGACTCAAAGTACATTGCATGTGAGAAGGACATGAACTTTTGAGGGGTGGAGCAGAATATTATGGTTTAGATATGAGATGTCACTTAAAATGTCATGTGTAAAAAAACACAAGAAAGGTTAGACATGAAATAATTGGGTTATGAGAGCCTTAACCCAATCAGTCCATTAATCCACTGATAGGGTTTTAGTCGGTGGAAACTGTAGTTAGGTAGTGTGGCTGGAGGAGGTGCTTCACTGGGGGCATTCTTTGGGGGTGTATTTGTTCCTGATGAGCAGAGCTCTGTATCTGCTTCCTGTTTGCCACATTCTGAGATGCTTTCCTCCTCCACAGCAATGGAGTTGGCCTTCTATGGGCTGAAACCTTGGAAACCATGAGTGCCAAATAAAATTTTCATTCTCTAAAAATGTTCTTGTCAGGACTTTGAGACACAATGGTGGAAAAGCTGACTATCATAATCCTATACTATCTAGAAATAATATGAGAGTGGTCTTTTGACCCTTTGTACTAATATAACATCCATAGTATAGCATCTAAAATTAGTTTAATAGCTACCTCATGGCCTTTAATACTATTATGATATCAACACTATAGCATCCAAAACTAATATAATACCTGCACTATGTCCTTTAATACTATGATGATATCCATAATATAGCAACTACAAGTAATATAATAGCTGCCCTATGACCTTTAATATTAATATAATACCAATCATGTGGCCTCTAAAAGTAAAATAACAGATGACTTGTGGTCTTTTAATACTAGTATGTTATCATCCATACTATGGATTCAAAACTGATATAATATATCCCCAGTGAACTTTAATATTATATCCATATTGTGGCACCTAAAACTGATATTTTAACTAAAATGTGTATTTAATATTAATATACACATATGTGGCTCTAAAATTAATATAATAGCTCCATCATGGTCTTTAATATTAATATAATATTCATACTATAGCATCTAAAACTAATAGCTGTCCTGTGGCTTTTAATACTGCTATAATATTTGTATTATAACATCCAGAATTAATATAGTACCTGCCAGTACCATTAGTACTAATATGGCATCCATAAAATTTCACCTAAAATTAATATAATATATGCCTTATGGCCTTTAACATATGCTCTTAGATATTAATATAATATTGATACTATGACATATAAAATGAACATAATAGCTGCCCTGTGACATTTAATAATAATATAATATCCATATAATACCTATAAGACTAATATAGTAGCTTCCATGTGGATTTTAATATTAAAATAATATCTTTTCTATCACATCTAAAACTGATAGAAAAGCAGCCTATGACCTTTAATACTAATTTATTATCCACACTCTAGCAATTAAAATTGGCATAATAATTGTTTTGTAGCCTTTAATACTACCATGATATCTATAATAGAGCATCCAAAACTGATGTAAGAGCTCTCCTGTGTGGTCTTTAATGCTAATATGATATTCTTATTAGTATTAAAAGACACAAGGGAAATATTATATAAGTTTTAAATATTATAATATCTTATCCACAGTATTAGATAATACTGATAAAATAGCTTCCTTGTGGCCTTTAACACCAATATCATATCTACATTATAGCATGTAAAACTGATATAATAGCCACCACATGATCTTTTAATACTAACATTATCCATATGATAACATTGAAAATTGGTATATTAGCTGCCTATAGATTTAGTATTATTATTTTACCCTCATTATAACATCTCAAATTAATGTAATATGTTCCCTGGACACTTTAGTACTAATAAAATATCCATACTATAGCATCAAAATCTAATATAATAACTGCCTTGTGGCCTTTAATTCTAATATGATATGCATATTATAGCATCAAAAATTTGCATAATAGTTCCATAAAGCTTTTAATAATAAAATAATGACCATATTATAGCATCTGAAGTGAATAAATAACTGTCCTGTCTTCTGTGACACGTAGTACTGATACAGTGACTGTCATGTGACCTTCAGTATTAATATATATCCATAGTATAGCATCAAAAGCTAATATATAATGGCTGAACTGTGGCCTTTAGTACAAATATGATATCTGTAGCATCTAAAATTAACAAAATATCTGCTTCTTTGCCTTAAGTAACATGATACCCAAAATATAGTCTCTGAAGCTGATATAATTGTTGCCCTATAACATTTAATATTAATATGATATCCATACTAGAGATCATCTAATATCTGCCATCTGACCCTTTTATAAAATATTTATTTATTTGTAGTTGGACACAATATCTTTATTTTATTTATTTA